TTTTGGGTTATATATGCATTTAACATTACACACCCTTAATATGATATCACATCTACAGGAGCCAGAAAAAATATATAAACTAAATAGATCGTAAAAAATTATAGATTTTTTACTATATAAACTTGAATAATAAATTAAATATTTTAAATATTATACTTATTTTTTCAACACGTAATAATCTATGCTATGTAACTACAATTAACCTTATGGTGTTAATAAATTATGGTGTTAAAGGCAACCCACTTGCATGAAGCATATATATTCATGTTTCCAATTAACTTTTGATATGCAGCCAAAACGCTGTTAAAAGTTAAGTTATTTAATTTAACACAAACATGCCATGTGGACATCATCAATTTTTTTTTTAGGAATGCACCTTGTAATATACCAAAGAAACAAAGTCTAAACATCGCTATTTGATTGCTATGCATAAAATATTTTATTAAAGAAAAAAAGAAGAGCACTTATTATTTGCTGAGAGTGTACCTTCCAATTTATTTGATAAAGATTCAACACTTCTAGATTAGTTAAGTTTCCAATGCTCCAGGGAATATTTCCTGCAACATAACAAGTAAAAAAACATATTGCAAATTAAATGAGCTTCTAAGCATAAAAAATGTATCCGGATTCTCTAATGTATTTATGCGGGAGGTGTTAAAATGAGAGAATGAAGCCTTGAAATTTGGGTAATAAATTTTGCTTTATTTCTTTTCAAATGCATAGAAATTTTAACCGCTACTTCCTATAATTCATTGAAAAAATTGAATAAAAAGGGAAATACATAATATGCGAAAGAAGAAGAATTTCTTTGAGATGAAAATAAAAAATGAAGATTCTCTATTTTGTTCATATGGTCTAGTCAATGCATGGCCTAAAATTTTTATAAATATCGAAGATATAAAGTTCACATTAGTTGAAGGTATCTTATAGTGTTAAGGGTATTTCTAGCAATGTCACAGATAAAGAAAAATCACATAATAATAAAAGTCTCAATGTATGGTAAAATCATGCATACTATAGAAAGTAATTGAAATTTTCATTTCCAGCTGAACCTTTTTGATAAATTTTAGATATTCAATATCATTTCTCTATTATTGTTTCTTTAGGTTTTTTTTTTCTCATAAGCAGTTTTCCAGATCAAATAATAGCTACTCGTAAAATGTCTACATAAAATGATTATATAAAAGAAATTTACTCACAGCACCAATTGACAATGATACCATTAAATGTGACAATAAAAATAAAAACATAGATAACAATATGGGTAAAAGAGTTAAATTGGCCTATAAAACTATAGGTCCAAGAAACGTTTGGGACCCTTACCTTTTTTTACGTAATATTTTCCTTCAACTTTTAAAAAGGTGCAATCTAAACATTATCGTTAACAAAAGTTAATTTTAACTATTAGTTGACCAAAAAATGATAGAAATAGACATCAAAAATTATATATATATATATATATATAAAAGAATCAATAAAATTTTCTTGGCCCTTTTTCTATATTTTTTTTGTGTCCTTGTCTTAATTTTTTGGTCCTTTGCTGTTATTTTTTTTTCAACTAATAGTCAAGTTAAGAGCCATATTGTATCATTTTCAAAAGTTGAAGGGGAACGTTGTACCAAAAATGAGTTTAGAGTCCCTAAAATTTATGAACCTATAGTCTGGGGACTAATTTGTGATTTGATTTAAGCCAAACAATATAGCTATTAAGTATGCAAACAAAAATGGGGCAAAGATAAATGCCTCAATATCATCTAAAATTGCCAATATCTCATGAAGAATGACATATATTGAAAAATGGAAGCCAAAACACTTTCAAAAAAAAAAAAAAAACACACACACACACCACACACCCCCACCCACCCACACAACTGGAATTCAAAAATATGGCCATTGGCTTTTGATATACTTCCTCTTGTCTTGAATGTAAAAACTAGTTGGGGAATTTGTTTTGTTCTAAATATAAAATCTCAATTTTCTTTTTTCTCCCATATGTATTTTTTTTCCCAAACCACACATATACTTAGATTCTTATAATTAATCTTTGTTTATAGTATTCTAATGTAAATTATTAAAAGGATATGTATTTTAGAAAATCTAAAATATAGTTTTTATAGATAATAATTAAGTTACTTATATATTATATATGTATATTAGTCAAACTAGTTTCTACATTTAAGAGCAGATCAAATATAGTGTATTAGAGGGGTAAATATTTATATATTTGAAACCATTTGAACAATATGACAGTAACACAATATGACTTCTTGAAAGCATGGTTAAGTTTTCAATGTTTCGTCAATGAGGAGGCAAGACAAGTTAACATGTTCTGGTGTAAATAATTTTCATATTTGTAGGATGATTATTGTTTAGAGTATATCCTACAATATTTCTTTCCATATTGGCCAATGTATAATTGGAGAAAATCTTGCACGTTGTTTGTTCTCCATCCAATCAAATTGCCGTCAATTCAATCAAATAAAATTTATGTGTCATTTTTTTAATAATTTTATTTTTGAAATAGAGGTGCCTCTTTAATTTTTTGCATTTTCTCTCTCTATCATCATCAATGACAAAATAAATTTATATTTAAAACCATCAAAATGGCCACTTTTATTGGATGGAGCACAGCTGGCGTGATGCACTGAGTCTATGCATGAATTGCTTGTAGAATTAAGGGGACAATATTCTAGATCAATCACCTATAATAATATATCATAACTTTAGCAAATCATAACCAATATAATATATTTGTTTGACATAAGTATTTAATTTCGATGAATTGATAATCTTCACAAATACTTATTGCATTATGGTTCAAAAATCTAAATGAAAGGAAAAAAATCTTAGCAATGTAGTCATTGTTTCTAAGATGCAAAGAAAATCATTGAAAAATATGACAAGAATGCATATGAGTTGTTGGACGAAGTGATGAGTTAGTGATTAGGTTTGTTAATTAAAATCATAAAATTATAATGATGTTGCTACAACAAAAAGTTAGAAATAATTGAAAATTCCTTCGATATCAACATCATGTCTCCGTTTCTCTCAAAAAATTGCTTCCATAACATTTGTCTTTCCAAACGAGAAGGCGTGTCCTAGTCTCCAAAGCTAGCATCGCAAAATTTAAAAATAGGGAAAATGACAATTAAGGACCCATAAGATCATAATTACAATTAGGAACCATGAATTATTGAAACCCCAATAGTGGACCATGGTGCTTACTTGGAATTGAAACCATATATGTTACAAAATTGCCTTTGAGAACTGAAATTCCTATTATGGGTTGGGGCTATGGTTAATCTCCGTTGGAAAAATCAGGACCCACACTTGGGAATGAGATTAACAACAGTCCCCACCCATGATAGTAACTTTAGTAGTCCCAACCCATTAATACTTGGGATTCTAGTTTTTTTAATTAAGATTAACAATAATCTCCAATCCATGATAGTAATTTTAGTAGTGTCTTTTCTTAAATTTTCAAGTAGTTTACCTATATATTGATAAGCATTAAATTTCACAAGAGATTGGGTTCATATTTAGAAGTGATTTTAGTGAATTTTCAAGTAACTATCTTATATTCATGAGTGCCTTTTAAAATTTTCACAAGTGAATTTATATTGGGAAAAAACCCATTCCCAAGTGTGAAATTTTGGTTTTTTTCAATAAGATTAACAATATTCCAAACCTATCATAGTAATTTCAGTAATATCTTTTTTTATTTTTCCATGTGAGGGCAATTTTGTAAACTCATATATGTTTTTATTTTGAATTTTGGTAAAGACCATCATCATCCATTCTTGGAATTGAATAATTCCAGATCCCTAATTGTCATTTTCCCTTAAGAATAACCAAAGACTTATTTTATGCATAAAGAATTATTGAAACATGATATAATAAACAAAAAATGAAAATGAAAATTAATATGCGATGCTGTTCTTAGTAATGCTAAGAAAATTATTTGCTAAAAGAAGTAGAAAGTTAGAACATCATAATTTGAAGAAAAATGAACTTGGATGCTCCAAAAGAGAAGACATACTAACTAGCACAATTAAAATTAACAATAACTCAAGTCCTTTTTGAACTAAAATACAATTATTTTCTACAACTAATTGTAAAATGAAATTTTATTAATTTGTCTTTCTAAAACAAAATACAATTAATACATATATCTTTCAAGACTATGTGTTAAAATATTTATTTTAGACAAATAGATTGATCTGTGCAATGTATAAAAAGAGGTTAAATTGGAGTACACTTGAACCAAGAAAATCAATGATGATTTTATTAACACTTGATGTCTTCAATATTAAATATAAACAGATTTGAACGTTGTCTCACATTTAGAATGCTAGCAATAATAATGTATCAAAAACCATTAGGTATAGATGGATTTAGATTGACCAACTAATTAATGAAAACCAATACTGGAAGCAAAGACAAATATTATTGTTGTACCGTGTGAACCCTTGGTGGTGACATAGTCTGATATAAAACAATTAAGCAGTGACACTATTTGAAATATATTGTCTGTGCAATACAACGTAACTATGCAAAGCCACATATTTTTTTATAGTTCATTTTATCCAACATTCCAAACAGAATACTTTGACAAGTATCTACTCCTAACCAGCGTTTGTAAGCGGTAATTAAAAGAATCAATCTTATATAACGATAGAAGTTCTAGAACACACACAAAATTACAATACAAGCGTTTTATATAATCTTAAAATTAAATAAGCATTTATACAAACATGTGATATTACAAGAAAAGGAGTTCACGAAATTATAGCATTCCAAACAATTCTCTAAAAAGGTTTCAAAGAACAATTCTATCAACTTTTTAGAAAAGATCGAATTTAATTTAAATGAAAATATAAAAATATTTTCTATTTTTCTTCTATGGCCATGACCAATCACAAATCATTAAAGTGAAATTAAAATATATTTACAAACAACTTAAAATTGAAGATTAATTGACATGGTGGAGAAGCACACACCTGTGAAGAAGTTGTTTTCTAAATATAAGTCTTGGAGCTCTTTGCATTGTATCCAATTAGATGGCAGGGTTCCAGACAATTCGTTATGTTGAAGATACAGCCCTTGTAATTTTGGAAGTCCATGACATATATCAAAGGGAATACTTTTTGACAAATTATTCCAACTTAAGTCAATCTCTTGTAACTCTGACATATTGAAGATATTTGATGTTATTTGGCCAGAAAGCTCATTACCATCTAAAGATAGAATCTTCAAATTTTGAAGATAATTGAACCCTCTTGGAATATCTCCTGCAAAGTAAATAAAGGAAAATAACAGTAAATGAGAATGAGAAAGGAAAGGAGATATGACATATCCTTGGGTTTTTCAAATGATTAAAACCTTGAAAAACCACCTATATAGAGAGAAAAACTTGACAGTAAAGCAGAGGGCATTTTTCACTAAAGTCACACACCAAAAATATGTGTGGCCTTTTGGATATCAATGACTAAGTATTGTTCAACATCACATAAGGAGCTAGTACATTGTTTGTGTTCGTGGTCCCATTTGTGTGGATATTGGTAGAGGGTGTTCATTCAAGGAGCAACACTTGTCATTTGAGCTGCTAAATGGAGATTGCAAAATTGCATCTCTCAAACAAATTGATAAGTTCTATACCATCTCTTATTCAATTTTAGCAAAGCCGATGGATCCTTTTGGAGGTTTTGGGAAATTTTTAACTTTATTCCGATGCATGTGCACCCAAAAACCCAACACTATCATGTGTCTAGAGCATAGTGACGATGTTTCCAATATGCAACAAAATTAAAATTATAATCAATATATATATCCCCTTACCATTTCCAACAAAATCAATGTTGAATAGGAGATTGTAAATAACTTATCCTAAGACACGCTAACATCTATAAAATTGTTTAAAATATTTAGGAGAAAAGATGAATGTATCTGATATAATGAAAGACATACATATCCGATAGAATAAAAGTGAATAGAATATAGTAGATGACATAAGAGTGGGCAAAATAGAACGAAGGGCTAAACATGGCTAGCATGTCCTCTTATGCATTAGGCAAAAACAAAATTTACATTTTAGACACATGTCCTTAGCGCCATCACTTAAAAGAACAATAATTAATGGGTTATTTTTATATAATCATTTATATATAAAAGCAAAATCTCACACACATAATATGCTTACTTTAAACCTACAAGTAAGTAAGAAAATGAGAGAAAGGTTATGTTTTGGCAATGGCAGCTTGTACAAGTCTTTAATTTGCGGAATAAGTGCCAAGTATACGAGAATTACCAAAAATATCATATACTTCCTTCATTTAAAATATAAGGTATTTTTGCTGAGGTTGGATGTTCAAAAGCGTAAAGCATTTTTTAGTTTTTCAATATATAATAGATGAGTTTTTCTTTTTCAAAAATACTCTTAATAAATAAACCAACCAACCATTTCACCTTTAAGTGAGATAACCTATTAAACAATGACAAACATGAAAAAATAATATTCATTTAAATACAAGTAATTAACATATTGGGGGTGTAACTATGTTTAAAATACTGAATGAAGGGAGTATTAAGAAAGTAATATATTGGGATAATTACAACCAAGTCCCAAATATAAACACAATTAACAAAAACTTGGCGACCCGCGAATTGAGTAAAATATCAAGATAGTAATTATTTGAATAGTTTTACTTGGTTTTATTGTAACTATGCAAGGAATTCTATAAAACATGTGACGTGAAAAATTTGCATTGCTAGCTAATAAAGGATTGCAAAGAACATTCAAATATTTTATCTTTCTCAAATTAAAAAAAATTATTATCACCAATATATCATTGAAAAATAACAATAAAAGAATGATCAAACATTAATGTTGTCAGGAATGTTAATTTGAATAAGCTATGAAGCATACTTTTGGAAAGTTGATTTCATGCATAATGCATAAAATGTGCTAACTTTGATAATTCAAATACCCGTATAGGAAGATATGGAGTTGAAATTGCAAATCTTCATAGAATCAATAACAATATTGTATGCTCACCTATGTTTTTAAGCCAAAAAAAGAGTTAATTATAACAAAATAATATTTCTAAACAATATCACAGAGATGCAATTGAGGAATGCACGATTCATCATGGAACCAATAATAACAAACAAAATTTATGAAAAGTTATATATAATGATTTGTTGAAAGGATGCCTTCTAAGTTGTTGTTATCGAGATATAATTCCTGAAGCATAGTCAAGTTTTCAATGCTTCTTGGTATTTGGCCAGACAACATGTTAACACCAAGGCTTATAATTTTTAGGTTTGTGAGAGCACTGATTGTTTTGGGAATATCTCCTGCAATATGATAATAAAATAAAAAACCGCATTATTATGAGTGCTCACATAAAATGATTATGATTAAAAAACTAACTAACAAAAATAATTTTATGAATGCATTCTTTTAAAGTTATTGTGATCAAGATATAATAACTCTTGAATTTGCATTTAAAAGAAAATGGAAATAAAATAAATCATAAAGAAGAACCCGTTTTGCATGGAGTTGAATATCAAGTTTCTGATCACTTGTCTTAATCTAGCATTAAAGACACCACATCCTCATTCACCATGTAATTCATTCAAACAAAATTCCAATGTTGATTATTTGAATTGCATACTTTCTTTATAGAGTTAAAATCTTTCAGATTTAAATCTGAAAATTTATATTATAAATTTTTAATATAAAATTGATATAGGCCCCACATTAATAAACTATTGGAAGTATAGCTCCCTTACACTTGAACGACATTTACGGGCCAACATTTAATTAAAATTATTTGTGTTGATAAAAATAGCTTCAATCCTAATTGAAAAACTTGTATACTTAACTATTTAAAGAGGGTCGAAAAAACTATTTAAATATGTTTTATTTAATTTTTTTAATTATATAGGACTTACAAAACTAAATCAAAATATGAGAAAAATTAAAGTTGATAAGATAAAGGAGTCTTGTGGATTAAGTGAAAACCAATACCTGAATTCAAAAGTTTCTCGGGATACTATTGTTGGGTCTATCATCTATGGTACCTAATTACAGTTAATTTAAAATTAGAAATTTTTTATATAAAATCCCAATAATTTTTATAGAACTAAAAATAAAAAATAATATACTAAAATAATTTTTTAATAAAATACCCTTTCTTTATTAAAATTGGATTGAAGTAAAAAAACTTAATTTTTGATTCCGTTCAAATCCTTTACAATTTAATGAAAATTTCCTTGCAAGAGACCTAGCAGAAATTCTCTGGCCCCTTTATATTCGAAAGCTTTCAACAGGTTAAATTCTAAAGGAAATTAAGATTACAATAGATATATATATTGATATGTTAAAATATTAAAATATAATTTGAATATTTTTATTATAATTTTTATGATTATAATTATAATTTAAATATTTTTCTTAGATTTACCAAATTAAATTATATAATTATAATACACACACACACACACATATTTACATACATACATACATACATATCATAAAAATCGTGTCCTCTTCTGTCACTCTACATGTAAATTTACTTTCCAAATAAATAAACCAAATGAGCTTCAATTTGTCAAACTGGCTTTTAACAAAGAGCGTGCGTACATAAATCACATTGTAGAGATTGACATGTATCCTAATTTTAATTTCCAAATTTTAGTTAGACAAACTTTTACCCCCAGCTTTAGTCTTATGTATTATGGCTCAAAGAACCCAAATGGAAAGGATAAAAACTAATAAAAAGCACGTAAAATAGCTGGTGCTGACGATGTAAAGAAAACTAATAGAGAGTGATAATACACTATATTGTGTGTTTAAGCATAATGACAAAGTTTCCAGTATCCCAAGAAAATTAAAATTATAAATAATTATTTGTAAATAGCTTATCCTAAGACACACCACTACGGATTTGGATCCTCTCCATACCCACTTCAATGCAATATTCCTCCAAACCAAATCCCATCCATCCAGTTAATTATTCATTTGGTTAATCTAATGGTATCAGATTGTTAATTATGACATTAAAATAAATATACTATTCATTTGATGATTATCATAAATAAGTATTATGAACTTATTTTCAAAACTATTTAAATGACAATAGTGAATAATCTATTTATTTTATCATAATTAGCAATCTCGCATAAATAAATCAAAAAAATAATTAAGAGGATGAATGGGATTAGGTAAGGAGGATGTATATATTGAGGTAGAGTATGAAGAAGATCCAAATCCACTACTACCTACAAATTGTTTGACATGATTTGGAGAAAATATGAATTTTTATGATACTATGAAAGACATACCTGTTAAATAGTTGTATGACAAAGACATCTGCTCAAGTGAGGATAAGTTAGAAATAGTTAGAGGTATTTTTCCAGAAAGATTGTTCACTTGTATAAGTAAAATCTTCAAATGTTGAAGCCTTCCAACCTCAAGTGGAATGGATCCATGGATAAAATTAGAAGTCCAATCCAATGTCTCTAACTTTGACAAATTCGATACACTTGGGGGAGTAACACCCCCAAAACTATTATTACGAAAATTCAAGCGCTGAAGAGCATATAAACTTCCAATCCAAGCTGGAATTTTTCCGTCAAATTCATTATAGCTCAGGGTGAGAATTTCCAACTTGTGTAACTGCTGCAACTCCTTTGGTAACTCACCATGAAAGTTGTTACTATGAAGGTCAAGTTCAACAAGGGAGGACAAATTCCCCACTTGTGAGGGCAAGGTGCCTATGAGACTCATGTCAGCAAGATTCAGTACACTAATTCTCTCACCATTAGCATCACAAGTAATCCCAACCCAATCACAAATGGAGGAAGAGTTAGACCAATTGGCCAAGTGATTGAACGGGTCTCTCACAGAAAATTTGAAAGCAAGAAGTGCCAATTCATCATTTTTGGTGAAATTGGTGTGACACAAAGTTGGGCAGACCACGAGACAGCAAAGCATTGAGAACATGGAGGAGGAAAAACGAAACCAAAGGTTGGCCATTTTGGATTGAAGAGGAGGGTTAGGTCATGCTATATATATAATACACTTGAGATTGATAAACACTGCTCATCAATGATAATAAAAACAGAAAGTAAATTGGGAATCTAATAAAAACATTTATATTTATGGTGAGAAAACAAAGGGGACTTTTCAAATTCTTGCCAATATAATAAACTATCATCTTTTTCGTTTTTATGGAGAACGCAATTGAAAATGAGTTATACCGAAGGGAGGTAACAATGAGATTGCTCAAATCTTAGCCATTAAGTTTTTCTACAAAAAGGAAGAAAAAAGAATCATAAATTAAGAGAAAGAGAACAGAAAGAATGAAATGAATAAGAAATTTTGGAGATAATTTCAAGTAAGACTGGAATTATTGTGCCCCTTTTTCTACGCTTAAGACATTCAAGTTCACTTGATTAAAAACGTAAAGTATAGAAAGATAAGACGAAATTCCTTTTCCAAGACTGCATCAATGAGTTGGAAAATGTCTTGGAAATTTCCTTAATTATAAAACATCAATATTTTTCATTATAAAGCAAAATGACAAAATGGGAAAGACTTAGATACTTAGTCTTAAATACTTAATATACTTTTATCAAATCAAATTAAAATAAGTGAATTTTAATGAGTTAATAATATTAAAAAACAAGAGTTAGTTATGAATTAAACAATCTGCAAAAGATCAATATGTCTTGATTTAATTGGAAACAAGCATCTTAAGTACATAAAGTTAAGAATATAAGTTTTTCCCTCTATCAAATTGTTGCCAACCAAACACACATTGCCATTTCTTATTCTTATATCCAATAAATTTCTTTATTCCAAACAAGTAATTAAAAGATACACAAAATTATAATTAAAGAACAATTTTTGAACTAAAATAATCGAAATTGCTACCACTATGTTTAAAAGAGATTTAATTAATATAAATTATTATTAAACTTTTCTTAATTTCCGGAACATGAAGGCAGGGAAAAATATCTTTGGCTTGTCATTTGGCATATCAAATTGTTTTTGGCAGATTATAAACATATAAATTAGGGATTATCAAATATCAAGCTCTTGACGGATTAGAATTTGATTTCTCTTATTCTTTTTTCTTTTTCGGTGGGTGCATGGAATATGCTTTTATCATCCTCATTGTTATTTTCTAAGGACCTTTTTCTTTTTTTAAGACTGCAAAGTAAATGATTGATACCAAGTGGGGTTTGATCTAGCAAAAAAAGTTAATCTCTTACAACATGGTGAACTATAGTTCGAATTCTAGTAGGAAGAGATGCCCACGTTTGGTGCTCAACCGTGCCTCAAATATAATAATACATATATGTAATCCAAAGAAATGTAAATAATCATTCTTTTTTTTTTGTTGATACAAATGTAAATAATCATTCTATGTTTAGTTGCAATAATAAAATGTTATTTTTTTTTATTTTATGATATATTGGTGGCTTCTATTTATAAAAATTGGTTTATTATTTGATAAATTTAAAATTTCATGATATTTTTGTGTATCTCCTCTTGTTAATGAAATTCTTTTTGCAACACATTTTTTTAGCATCTTAAAATAATTAGAAATATGCCTTTTGAAAAATTATTATTTATAAAAATATACAAATATCATAAAATCTCACAAAATAATTTTTTTTTTCATGGTTCTCGAATTTCCTTCTTTTTTCCTTAACTCTATGGGGGGGAATTATCTCATAGTTCTTTTCTCATTTATAAAACCTTTCATGGGTTACAAAGTTACTTTAACAACTTGATTCTCAAACCAAAAAATACTCATACAAGAAAATATTACCATAAGCTACCGAATAACCAAAATGAAAGCAACATGGACTCCATCCGGTTCTATTTATAATATAGAAAGAGAAAATCTTTTTTGATCCTATTTGCAAATCATGTCATTAATCTTTTATCAAAAGTTTCCTCATTTACCCTCAATTAAATGTTGGTGAGAGAAAGTTTGTTATTAAAGTGTGTATAATTAATAGGATCAAAGTTGAAATATATAGGATCAAACTTGAAATCAGTATCAAAAGGAAACAATAACAAACATTGCTAAATACCCTTAACATGAGAAAACATTTGTATAAATAATAAGGTGACTCACTATCTTCCTTTAATTAATAAGGATATAATTGAAATATTGAAATATTTTTTAATAAATATAGCAACATAATAAATTTTTTTCTTAAAATACATGAAAATATCTTAAATACCTTATAAATAGGACTGGGGGAAGCAATTATATGAACATTCTAACTTTAACTAAGACGCTATTATTATTGACATTGTGCCACTTTCTTTATGTCAAGGATTTATAAGCTAACTTTACCTGGAAATAAATGAGCATGAATAAAAATGATAAGATTCTTTTTCTTTTTGGCCACATCAATAATCATCAAGTTATTGGAATAATATGACTGGAAAATTTTCTTTTCTCTTTTCACACAAAAGAATCTCCTTGACGGTGCCATTTTTTCATAGCATAAATAGTTGATTTTACACTTCACTAATGAAAACGCGGACAAGAGTAAAAATGATGAATTGTCACAGTTCATGACTTGCTTTTTTCTCTCCATGACTACAGTATTGAGTTGAGAAAAGAAAAGACAATATTGATATGCATTCACCGAACGCCACTGTTTTGAATTTAATGAAAATATAAAAGGATTAAAAGACATTTTTATATCTAAACTATTTGTACATGCAGTAGCGTATGATATTCTAAATTTTTTGTACGGCAATGTCCCCTTTTTATATTTGAAAATGATGCAATGTTGTCTTTAATGTTAATAAATATTACTTTTAATTGTTAATTGACTTATAAAATTACATTAAACCCCCAAAAGTTACAGACATTGTCCCAAATTATAAGTAATATAGGAAAATAAATATTTATTGAGTATTCTAATTAACATTTATGATTGCATATTTTATTATTAGAGAAAAATAAATATGAGTGCACATATGAATTAATAAAAATAAATTAAAAATATTACCAATGCATCTATATTCTACTGCTTTCTTCACGAAACTTACAGTAATAGCACATGTTAAGCCTACAAAACTCATTGATGAGAAATTTCCTAGTCACTTTACAATCATCATTGATATGACCAAAGGAAGCAAAATCCATGGCATTAATACAGTGGAGTCTTTGGCAAAATTTGAACTCTCCATATAATTTCAATAAACAACTCACTTACATGGTCTTGTATTTGTAATTTCCTAGTTTAACTAACGTTAATATTTGTTAATAGCAAGTACAATATTACACTGTTTTTAATTATTTAAGCTGAATAATGCACCACAAAAAATAATATATCAAATGCTTTTGCACAAATAATTGAGGGACACAAATATCCATCAACCCATGGAACTTTCAAACATATGATCTAGCCAATTATTTTCAATATTGCTTGTTGAAAAGTAGAGAAGCCAGGTTACAAATTAATATCAAATACGAGAAACATGGTTTCAAGTTGCAAAAACTTTCAAACAATTGATCTAGTTAACTTTTTATATTTCCTATTAAAATTTAGTTGCAAATTTCTTATAAATCACTAACAAATATAAGAAATTGAGTTGCAAATGAAGTTCGATGAAAAATGTTTAGGGGTAATTTTGTCATTTCACTTTAATTTTTTATGACATTAAGATCTTAGAACTTTTACCATTTTTAGAATATTTTGTAACATGTTTTAATTAATGAAATTAAGTCAGCCATTTATAAAGTGATAAAATATTTCGTTGAGATTCAATTTTGTTTTGGGCTTACCAACAGATTTCGTTTAGATGTAATCACTACGTCTGGATTTTTTTCTTAATGGTTGTTAGAACGTTACTGTACCAATCAATGAAATTATGTACTCATTCAAGAAGTAATAAAAATTCGTTGGACATAATGATTAATAAAAGATAAAAAGATGAAATCAAATGCAGCTAAGTGAAAGGAAAGAGTTATTTTTTCGTTCTAAATCTCATTAAATTGTACTATTTGTTATCATAAAAAACTTTCATTACATGTGGCTAGGTTTTCTAGATACGAAAACGAAAGGACTGAAACCTATACTCTTAACCGGAAAAAAAAAAAAAAAACAAAGAAAAGAGAATTGCACCCACTTTTATTCATTATAATTAGATATTGGTTACCATGGGTAGTGACTACCCAAAACAAGGAGAAAGGAGAAATAGACAAGAGTAGCGGAAAAATATCACATTTTAACTCAAAACCTCAAAGTTTAAATTATGGGTCATTTCTTTTTGTTCTATATTAGTTATTGACCCCAATTTTATTTGATATGTGACTTCTCACATTCTCTTATATTTATTCATATCTGGACAACCTAATAATATCATAAGGAGGTATAACCTGAACATAACTTTTTTTTAAAAAAAAAATAAGGCCTAACTAGAGAAAAATATTAATGAAGTTAACTGGTTTATTCAATACACTATAATAGATATGTTATTATTGAGATTATTAGTAAATAAAATAATGTTTAGTGAATAAATAATTTCATTTAATTGGTTAATAATCAAGATTTGAAATTTCAAATTTAAATAGTTCAAAATAATATTTTTCACAATAAGTTTGCCTATATATTTGTTCTATCTTAAAAATTAGTTTGTATTTGTTAACAAAAAAAAAAATAGTGTTTATCTGGATTTTCGACGACTGTGAATTTGTAATGATTTATTTAAAAATTATGTTGAAAAAGTGAATGCAAATATCAAATCTATGGAATTTGGTTCATTAATCTGTTAGTCATCGCTTATATATGATTCAAACATAACATTTTGTTGAGAAAATGATATTTAAAGACTTTATAAGAATATTAATTATAATTAAATATAATAAAATTATGAAATTCAGAAAAGAGATCATGGTTCTTAGTTGGAATTAAAAATATTTTGATTGATTTTTTTCATTATTCATCTTACATACTTTCAATACTCATTTTTATATTTTCAATAGTCATCATTAGCAT